GAAACATCGCTGAACCGCTGGGCTGTTATTGAGAATATTCTGTAATAATACTATAATATACATAATAATCCTAAGCCCGACCCGGTCCTAAGACCTCCACATCTGCAACCATACATGCTGACCGCTAGACCAACGAGGTAGGTATCACTATAGGTAAACAGTTATCGTGGTATATTAGTATCTCGTTAGGAGTGACATAGATATGACTCTCTAAGATATACATATAAATTTTTATGTACTGATAATATAATATTATAAAAGACCAATTTTTTGTAATTCTTATTTTATTAGGAGATGATAACTAACAAAAAAAATATACCAACTAGATTTTAAGGAAGCTTACTTTAAGTGCGTACCTACTAACAAAAGTTGACACAAATCCATTTTTGATATAGAAAAATCTATAACATTAATACTTGAAATTGATGCAACGTACAACAGTCAAAATTGAAATTAAAAATATACGGTAAAAATTAGTTATTGCCCAAGATTCATTTTTGCTACCTTCAAAGAAGGCAGTTCTCAATCCGGCTGTATTTTTGATTATATATTACGCGATATCTATTGTGAACCAGTTTTAATAATATTTTTAGACCATTAGAGTCTTGTAGACCATATTTTAAAATGTATAGTATGCTTTGCCTTGTCTTGTATACATATTTGATACTAGCATGTTTATAATAAAATTTAGTGCACGTTTCAAGAAAAAAATTATGATAACGTAAATATTTTTACCTTTTTTCACCCCTTTCGGACATGAATTTCAAGAAAAATTATGTTAGCGGCTATTTATGTCATCATATGAAAATATTGTTTAAGATCACGTTGATATAGACTGGGTTTTGCTAATTCTAGGAGACGCGATTGAATGTACATTGATAATGAGAAGATGAATTAATGTAAAACAAATCAAAATATTCTTTGCAAAAATTTATATGGGAAATGAAAGCACATGCAAAGACGTTTTAAAATCAGAAGCGTGACTAAACGCGTGGAATCGACTGTGGAAGCTGTCTCACAGCATATTAGTATTATTCAAGTTATTGAGCATGACTGCCAATTGTGACATAATAAAGGAAATTAATTATTTTATTTAAATCCTTAAAATTTATTTAACAAAGCAAATAACTTATGTTTTTTTGGTTATCCGATACATATTAATTATATTATACAATCTATACATATAATAAAATTTTGAGTCGAATCTGTACATTTTTTTTTAATCTTATTGAAATAGTCATTATTATCGATACAGAGGCCGAATCTATAGTTGTCTAGTAGTCTGTCTAGGAACGCATCACGGGAAAACTACTATACAGATTTTGATGAAATTTGGTATGATGATAGCTGGTTATCTGGGTCAACATATTATAAGATACTTTTTACTGCGGGAAAATATCTCATCTCTGAGAAATTTATACTTACCGTTAAAACGTATCTAGGAACGAACCCAAGCAGAGCGAGATGAGTCGCTGGTTCTCTATATATGTATATAAAAATCGATGTTCCCTATGGACTCCAAAAAGGCTGGAGCGATTTAGATGAAATTTTCAGGTAATCTTTAGATTAGCTCAGCGGATGATCTTGTGAAGTTTGGTACGATCGGAAGTAAAGCCGTGGGTACTGCGAGTATAAGATAATTATGTAACTTTTGCAATGTATGTAACACTTACTAGTTTTGACTCGCGGTTTCGTTCATGTGACCCTTCAATAGGTTGAACTTAATAAGTTATTATTCAGCGATAGTTTAGCTTTCTATTCGTATTTTAAAGATAACATGATTGTACCTAATTTTTGAAGTAATTTCTAAATATCAACGTACAAACCAACAGAAAAAAAATAAACAACTTAGGCATAAAAATTCTTTAATATCTTAAAAATAGCTCTTATAGCGTAATTTTTTTATATAGCAACCCAAATTAAAATATATTTCAAGTAATTTTACTGCAATCGTTTAGTAAATATTAAAAAATATATAAGTATTTCATTCAAAGAAACGATCCAGTTATCGCCACATTTTGCAAGGTCAGATCAACAATCCGAATGAGAGGACGCCTAATGTTCCCCTATAGTACCTTCACTTTCCTGTCAGATTATTAGAAGAAAAATAGGAGGTTTAACAAGCAATTTAAATGGACAGGTGTGAATGATTGAAAGAGCGAGAATTTGTTATTTCATTTTCATTGTTACCGCTATTTTGCTTTTTCATTCAATGATGTATTTGGGTGGCTTTACACGATTTTTGATATACTCGACTCTACTTAAATTAAGTCATTTTTGTATATAAGTAAAAGTTCAATATAAATATATCTTACTCATTTTTTCCATCTTTTACACATTGCTTATTGCAAACTATTGTTAAAGTGATAAATTAAACATTTAGAAAACCCCCGACCATCTAGGACCGATTTTCATTAATGCTATATATATATATATATATATATATATATATATATATATATATATATATATATATATATATATAACACCTCGTCGTTTTGCGTCGGGGGTTAAAAATAAAAGACATGACAGCGTCAAATGCTATCTAAAAAAATCAAAACAGATTAATATATGAACAAAGTATTATGCAGTCAAAAACATACATACATGTAGCAAGCAAGCGCAACAAGTATAAAACATAACCCTCCTTTCAGACCTCGTCGCAGTCAAGTAAATATTTACAAAATAGCTTTTAAAAGCACTGCATTGATACTAATTACAGCAAGTTATATAAAAAGTAAAAAAATAAAAACAAGTAAAATAAGTAACTTAATTTTTTGAAGTCAGTTCTAAAATACGCTAATTATTCGTTGAAAAGCTGTTGGTACTATGAAGCAGTGGTGAACGTTTTGCAAGTTTAAATACTTTTTAACGATCATAACACGAAGTACCTTTACCTGTACATCAGAGGTAGGGGATTCGATTCGAGAATGACTTAAATATTTATATTAGCTAATGTTAGTTTTCCTTTTCGGTATACGTTTGACAATCATTTACACGGAATAGATAAAATTTTATCAATTCTCTGATCATTTTCATAGTTAGTATTTCATAGTAGGGGACATTTGGTATAGTGTTTTTTAAATACATTTTTTTTAATTTCGTTAGTTTTACAAAATAACATAAGTCATAATTTAATGGCACGATTGTGATATAATTACCAAAACAATTTTACTGCTTTCGTATTTATATACGTCTGTATGTATATCTTTTACTTAGTAGGAGCTTTTTATGATTTTTTTTCATTTAATGATTTAAATGGATATAAAAATACAAATACTTACTTTTTACGCGATTATTTAATATTTTGAGTAAAAGTATCTTTTCGGATTTTTTGCGGATTTACATTTTAAAGCTTTTGAAAAAGGGGTAACCAAAAGTCAAAATAAATAGATTTATTACAAAAACAATTATTGAAAGTTTGTTTATTGTTAAATGTAATATTAAGTAATACGTTGTAATGTGGTAAATAGAGTGTAAACGCTAAGTTTAACGATAACCTAAAACACTTAATATTACTCGTAATAACTTATTTTAGGACCATTTTATTTATTAAAGTCTGACATAAGCTTAAGTGACATAACAAAAGCTATTTACAATATAATTGGTTTTAAATATACAAAAACATAAGTGGTAGCCTAGTGGTAGTGGGCTTGCTTGGGAAACCAAGTGAAGCGAGTTCAAATCCCGGGTCTCGCACCTGTGATATGTTCATTTGCAAATCGTTTTCAACATGATTACCACTTGTATGTATTACGGTGAAGAAAAACACCTTGAGAAAACCTGCACGTCTGAGAGAACCATGCGAGTTTTTGAAAGCCATGTGAAGTCCGGCAACACGGATTTGGCTAGCGTGGTGGACTATGGCCTGATCCCCTTGTATTGAAGGGTGGTCTGTGTCCAACAGTGGGATGTTAAAAAGGGCTGATACATACAAAAATATTTAAAGGTACTTCTATATTCAGCCGTAAATAGCTTCTTTCTTTCATAGCAATGAATTCAGTACCCCCAAGCGATTTCAAAATATACCGTAACAATGGAAAAAACCTTTGAAGCTTATTAAAATCGACTTTTAAGACTAAGCAAATGCCCACAGGACAAATAATCTATTACGTTGTTGATCTGTGGTATTATTAATAATTTTTCTTTTTCGTTATCTCGACTCCATTTTGATCCCCAAGCGTCTTTTAAATAATTTGACATAAATTCAAATAGCTGAAGTAATTATTCTTTTGGTTAGAATATTATCAAAAGTATTTCCCGAATTGAATTGATATTATATTTTAATTGCATTTGTATTTTATAGAAATCATTTTAATCAATGGTTAAGTTTTAGAAGAATATGACAGTGTTGTGAAGATATGTGTTAATGACATTTTTATCTGAGAAAAAAATCTTTGAACTCTTCTGTTAGATATACGTCTAGATTTTTTCTAGAATTATTTTAAAATCATACAATTATGCAATTTAGATTTTTTTTATGTATTCATGATATCATTCATATTATATGAATGAAAGCAATACACAAAAAATATTTGAAATATTATATCTCTATTTTACAAATACATCAAATAAATATAAAAAAATCTATTCAAACGTGGGAATTTTTATCTGAGTACAACATATCCAATGTACCTCGACATTTATATACTCGTATATAATACGCGAAACACATATCACTGATTAATTACGAAATTTACCACGAATTTAGATTACAGATTCCGCATAAGAAGTGCGTGAGTTTTTTTTTTAATTTACCCCTACCTACCTTTTCTACCCCTAAAGGGGTAAAAAGGAGGTTATTTTTAAAGTTACAGTGACCAAAACTGGAAATAATATTTATGAGAAAGATGTTAAGCTTAGGATTAGAGTAATTAATTTTTGAAATTGTCTGTTTGTATGAATGCACTTAGTACATAAATAAACTACCCAAATAGAGGAAGCAGTGGTAGTACCTATTTAAAAATAAATATTTGCTATAATGGAAAATATTTTTCCAGGTGTCCACTCAGTCCGCATAGTCAACGTCCGAGTGCCTGAAGTCCTGCAATACGGTACAAAGGACGCTATCACACTCGACTGTGACTACACCACTAATAATGTAACCGGACTGGTAGTTAAGTGGTTTTACATGGACAGATCACACCCTGTGTATCAGTGGATACCCCCACAAAAACCTCAAGCTTTGGGGTTATTGAAAAATAGGGTAAGTGTTTATAAATGGTTATATTTGTTATAAAGAATTTATGTTTATCTGTATGGTGGTAATATACGCAACTTTTAAGAGTGGATTTTTTTCTCTGCAAAATTATCGTAAGATATAATATCTTATTCATTACAAAAATGATCATCAAAACCGGCTAAGGCATATTGAAAATATTGGCAGTTAAAATATTGCATTACATACACAAAAATAATGTAAATGCATTATAAAAACTACATATGTATAAGGATATACAACATAAAATATTTAAATAATATATAAAATATTTAAATATCAATATACTTAAATAAGAGATGAGCTGACTATGAGTTGTCGACTAGCCGATGAGCCGACTGGTCGGTTGGAAAAAGGCCGACTAATCGGTCGACTAGTCAATTCCTGTATCTTGGTTATATTTCTATTAATAATAAATACATAGTTCTTTAAACTGTGATTCAAAATAAATAATAAACAGGAAATTACATAATTAAGTATGTTGTTGATTCAGTTGTAGAAACTTGCCTTCAAATTTTTTTTTTGTAATCTTAGTCATATAAGTACTAAGTGTTCTATTCGTTCCTACTCCTAGATTGTATTGCCAATTGTAAGACTGATACTAAAAGATAAACAATAATTATTAATAATGACGGAATTTCATTTCAATCACCCTAAGATTAGTAATATGAATTAAGTAATGTCTACCGGGCCGACTAGTCGATGCTTTTAACCGACTAGTCGCTTAATGTAAATATAGTCGGATAGTTAGCTTTCCCGACTAAAGGGCCACTAGTCTAGTCAAACTTTCTAACTAAAATATTTACTTTCCAGCTAGATCTCTCCTACAAAGTATCACAAAATCCATACACGCAACATCGTGCGTTACGTATCCTGTCTCCAGGGACCGAGTTAACCGGAAACTACACTTGTGTGGTATCTACATTCCTCTCTGAGGACGAGAGGACACGTCCTATGACTATATTTGGTAAGTACTATTAATAGTATAGCACAGTAGCAAAAACATACCATTGGAATAATTTCAATAAGCCTTTATATAAAACTAGCTAACTCAATAGACATCAAGAATCAATTTTTATGTTTTTAGTATTTCTTCATAATTCTGAAAGCTTATCGAAACTAACATTCTATAACTTTTTTCACTAATATATGTATTTAAAAATATTTTGAGTAAATATTATATTTCATATTGCCAAAGACATTTAGCTTTTTATTTTATTGATTATAGAGTAACTTAAAACTATAAAGGCTGTTTCCATTATATAGAACTATGCTTATATTATAAAAATGTTAACCGTTTGTTTGAACGCGTTAATATATGGAATTAAAATACTGGTTTGAAAAATTCTACTCGCATTTGATATAATATTAATTGAGTTGGTTATAGGCTATCTTATAACACAGAATGACATACACTTTGAAACTAAGAAAACGTAGATTTATATAAACATTTATCACTCTAAAACATATAAAAACATATATTAAATTGCATTTAACCAACCAACTAAGAACTAAATGAGCTATCAATCAAAACTTCTTCAATCAAAAACACTAGCCACAAATCAATTACATAACATCCAATCAAATGTTCGAACAGAAATCTCAATAAATAATGCCGATGCTGTTACAACTTCACGTGTTGTTAAATACTCGTGTACTGAACACCGCAACAATATGCTTTGTGAGCTGAGACGAAACGGAAATTACTTCGTGCAACTTTGCCCATATAGCAAACAGAATTTGACTAGGTCGTTAACGGGAACAGTGTACTGCTGGAATTAAAGAGATTGAATGTAGATGTTTGGTTATTCTATTTTTTCGAATCTATACATATAATAAAATTGTAACTAAGTCGAATCTGTATATTAAATATTTTTTGGAAAATCTTATTGAAATAGACATCATTATCGATACAGAGTCCGAATCTATTGTTCTTAGAATTTTTAACTGTCTGTCTGTCTGTATGTCTGTCTGTCTGTTACCGCATCACAAAAAAACCACTAGAGAGATTTTGATGAAATTTGGCATGATGCTAGCTGGTTATCCGGATCAACATATAGAATACTTTTTACCGCGGGAAAATTTCTCATTTCTGAGAAAAAATGCAAAAACTGCAATGTAAAAGTATACTAATCTGTAAAACCTAATAATTTGGTTTTTGTCACTTGAACGCGGGCGGAGCCGCGGGCAATGCTAGGTATTAATAGTAAAAAAATACATTTCATGAAAGCTTAGCTAAACCCAGAAAAATTAAATTGCACAAAAGCTCACAAAACAAAGGAAAAGAATTTGCTGTACTTGTAATTAAATAACGAAACCGCCGTCGTTGTAGAAGATAAAAGAACGAAGCATCAAACTAAAACAAGGAAACGATAGCTAATGGAATACAAATGACCGTTTTGCTTATACTATGAAATCCATCAATATTTGAAGCGATCAGTTGTTACACGTGAATTTTTTTCTGGATGTGACTCACTGAAAATTTATATAATCCTACTAATATTATAAATGCGAAAGTTTATGAGGATGTATGAATGTCTGGATGTGTAAATGTATAAATGTTTGTTACTCTTACATGCAAAATTTGCTGAATGGATTTTAATGATACTCTACAATAATATAGCTCATACATCAAAATGATATAGACTAATTTTTATCCCAGAAAAATGTACGGTACCTACTCGTGGGATAGATTTGTTTTTGTCTTTCTAGAGGCGAACCCAAGCGAAGCGATTTAAGCCGCTAGTACATAATATACACTCACCGATTTCGCTCATGGCGGCCACCTCACTGAGACTAGCAATGTGCGCATGATATATTATAGTAAATAAGTGTGTGCAAAGACATAAGTTTACACACTTAGCTTAGGCTTTCTAAAAAACAGAGGTGTAACCGTCAACTTTTCATCTCCTCAAAACTCAGTAACTATACTTGGCATAATTTGGAACTTGAACCTAGGACCTCTGGATCTGTTAGAGGCTAACCAATTCACTAATGAGCCAAATTGCTATTTATAACTTTATGTTGATTAATATTTAATACTTTTTAGATAGGTTAACTAATATAGTGTTATATTTTTCATGAGGATGTAAAAGCTATATCTAGCTATGTTTAAAGTAAAACAACAACCATAGGTCATATTGTTAAAATAAACAGAAAAATATGTTTTTTTTTCACTTTTTTATAAAAAAAAGGACAAAAATTTTATTACTAAAATATAAAAGAACAAAAATTAAGCAAATTTCAAAATTTAAATACCGTTTTATCCAGTAAACCTATAGCCACGTTTCACCTGCGGGTATCCATTACTGTTTGCGTGTTCCCCAACCGTTGGATGTTGTTCCTGAAACATACCTCGTTCCAATACTGCAATTTGATGACATCTACATTAAACGCTTACATTATATTGGCTTCGTTGTTGACATTTGCCATATAATGATCGATGGCATAAAATTTTATTACTAACTATTTATTACTAAATCGATCGTTCGCTAGCTCTCTGTAAATATTTTGATATCATGGGTTTTTTGTGTTTTGAGTATAAAATTGAAATATTTATATCAATAATATGTTATAATTTAATTTAAATGGAGATTAATGAAATAATCAGACAAATAAATATTTACGTATACAAGAGAAATAAAGTGAACGTTTAATAAAATAATACAGGTATTATAATACAAGCACGTTTAAAAAAACATAAAAAATTATCTATTATTAAAATAATTGCAGAGAACACTGATTGGGGTTAACTTAAGTAAAATTTTATATTATATTTTGATATCGTAAATTCTTCGTAACGATGTACTTTTACCAGTGTTATCAAGTAGCTTCTGTCCTCAGCTCCACTTGTAGTTTATTTATGTAGAACGAGTTAGCCAGTCTCACTTTATACCAGATATCACTCTAGACATTATCCATACCAGATATAGTTGATGAATGACCCCAGCGCGACTCGATCCCACGACCGCTGGCACAGTAAGTAGGGTCACTACAAACTGAGTCAAACGTGTCGTCAAGTCAACAAAATATTTATCTTTTGTCTTCTAGTAGTAAGAATTTCTCAAAACATCTATACCCTGGCTTCACTCGGATGCATCTTCAGTACTTAATAGAAATCAAGTTCATCAAAATCCATCCAGCCGTTTTGGCGTAAAGGACTAACAAACATACATGTACACATACACACACACGCACACGCACACGCACACACACACACACACACACACACACACACACACACACACACACACACACACACACACACACACACACACACACACACACACACACACACACACACACACACACGCACACGCACACACTCACGCACATACGCACAAAATTTCGCGTTTATAATAAATAGTAATCCAACAACAACCAATACTTTCGTCATGGTAATCAGTCATATTATCATTACCAGCCCAGGACTGATGTTTGCTAAATATTCCTCGCATTTCACCTGTTTATTTGCGAGGTAAATAAAATTTTCCCCGTTTTCGGTTAGCTTCGTGATTACCTAGCAGTGCATGAATAATTAATCGGCTCATTGATTACCATATAATTTTATCCTAGTGTTTTAACATTAACATAATGTAATGTTGTAGTAACACTGTTTACAAGTGAAGTTCTATCGTTAACGGGTTTTAGCTTCATTTTGTTTAACTAAGTTGTATTTATAATGGATGATAGAGGAAAATTAAATAGAATCCAATCTTTTATATAGGCACATTTCAAAAAACTTAACAATGAATAAAAATTTACAGTCAAAATATCAACACTGCTCTTTCAAAATATACTAATTCTACTACTTCTTAGATTTTCACTATAATAGCACTTAATAAAATACTATACGAGTTAAGTTCAAAAAAACGTAATTTCATAGCATTCTTTTATATTCTTTACTCACTATATACATTGTACATATTATGATCTAATACATAACTAGATCACTTTATATGTACATAGACTGGTTTTAATTATCTTACTAGATAAGACACAGAATGAAAAAATATATTAAAGTAGCTATTATTTTATTAGGTTTTTTTTTTTCCTTTTCTTATTTTTTTTGTCCTTTCTTATTTTTTTATCCCCTTGTAAATATCGGGACAACGACCCTATTTAATAAATAGATTATTCCAATAACACACTAACCCCTATTTCAAACAATCGTCTTAAATATTTAAATTTAATATTACTACTGAATATTATAATCCATACTAATATTATAATCCATACTAATATTATAAATGTGAAAGTTTGTTTGTTTGTGTGTTTGTCTGTCTTTCTTTCACGTTGAAATGGAGTGATGGAATGGCGTGATTTTTGGTGTGAAGATAGATGGAAAGCTGGAGAGTGACATAGGGTACTTTTTATCGCGGGAGATCATCTCATTCTCACGAGAAAACACGTTATATGTAATAACGTAATACAATCCAAAAAAATATCTCTCATCAAAATTACTTGAAACTTGGTAGTAACGCTCTTCAATACAACAAAAATGCTAAAACACGTATTTAATTAATAAATACTTGTTTTGGTATTTTTCGATATTCATCCTATAAGGGGGTAAAATAGGGGATGAGAGTTTGTATGAAACCTAGGTACCTACCTTTTTAAAGATTTTTTGTAGTTCCAGCGCGAGCAAATTTGCTGGTTCTGCTAATACTAGTTATTATATAAGATTTACTAAGTAAATGTTTGCTTAATTCCAGTTCCGGAAACCAGGTTCGATATGATTCAAGATCGTCTTAGAGATGGCTATTTGGATATTATCTGCTCAGTCGAAGGTGTATTTCCGAGACCAGAAGTTGTTATATTAGTTGGAAATAGGTAAGAAGTTTTTTTTTTTTGTAAATATATATAAAAAGGAAAGACATTTAATTTTCTGCGCACTGTTAATTTTGTCAAAAAAACTTTTTTATTATGTATAGTGAATTTTACCTTTTAGTAGAATCTAAATAGATATTTAAAAAAAAAAGAATTATAGATATCAGGTCAGTATAGCCTTAGCGTATCGCGTAGCATACAAACACACAACTAAACATGTATTACATACACAATCTCTATTTAACAAACATAATATCTTAAAACTAAAAAAAACCCGTCTTACAATTTTTTAAAAAGTATCATAAATATTGAAGATATCAAAGTTAACTCAAAGAAAACATTTCTCTACTTTTAAAAATTGTTAATAACAGCGTTTAAATATTTTTTGGGAACCTTACCTGAGCTGAAACAAATTGAATCGCTTTAGGCAATCATTTAACACCAGATTGTTATCTAAATTTCATAAGCTTCATTATAACAGACCATTAGACTTCAGACAGACCATTAACGAAGTTACTCATTAAAAATACATCAAACGTGATCGTCAGTAAACATCGAAAAATTAATAAACCAAAGTAAATTTAATCAATTGTTACGCGCTGTAATTAAAATTCACCCACACTTACTCCGTAATTAACATACGATATATAATATCAGAATTCGCGTTGAGATATAATAATGAGTTAAGCTACATTCATAGGATTACCATAATATTGTGCGAAAAATGTGGAAATTTTGTACTTTAAGCATTTATCCCGGAAATCATCCCTTAAGGGTTAAGAGGGAAATAAAAGTTTGTATGGGGAACCAATTAAAACCGAGTAAGGGTTACAAAACTCATCATACCTATGTGTATATATATATATATATATATATATATATATATATACTTATATATAGTCTATCTATTCTGTACTAACTGTTATAATGTATTTAGGGACGTACCCGAGCAATGCGAGGGTAAGTTAGCTTTTAAGATATATTATGTAAAACGAAACGGATACATTAGTATTAAAACTGCACATTTTTAAATAAACTAGAAATAACTATTAGGTCAATACTAAAGTTCAAACCCAATTATCGGACTCACACTCTTAATCATATTAGTAATATTAAAATATTCTTTAACTAAAATATGCTTTAAATATTCAACAACTATCTATCAGGTAAATGAAAAAAGCTAAAAAAGCTTCCAAATTCACTACAAACTTCTTAGATACAATTAATTAAAATTATTAAAATAATTTTAATAATAAAATAAAAGATATGTAATTTCATGGTCACCCTTATCTCTGAGGTCATTTCGTGCGGAATGAACAACATGTCACTTTGCTTGTTGTTTAATAGATTTCCAATTACCTGAGGCCCAAATTTTAAGCATTTGCAGAATACTGTTATAATGAATTGCTAAAAATACTTTACATTTATTAATTAAATGAAATAACATCCGGGATTCGTTACAAAACTTGCTTTAGTCAGCGTCTTTACCTTTAGAATGTATTTTTAATTATTCCTAGTGTAACTAAAATTACTGTCGCGGTGTAGAACTAGCCGATTCGCTTTCAACATTTAAAAAAATAATAAAAGAATGCTATCTTAACTTATAAAGTGCTAAATCGTGTCATATTTTATTTTATATGTATAATGTTTATATGTGTGTATGTATGTATGTATGTATGTATGTATGTATGTATGTATGTCACATGTATGTTTTCATTCTCTCTTTAAGATTGTTTGCACCCCTTCCTTCTCTCTTCTTTCTCTCTACCCAAAGGTTGCCTAGAATAGATCGCTCTCTAGCGATAAGGCCGCCTATTGCACTACTTCTCTTTAATCTATTTCAACTATGTAATGTAAAATAATGATGTGCAATAAAGAATATTTCATATTTCATAGAACACTCCATTGAGTAGGTTGTATAAAAATATGTATGAATTGTAATAAAATAATATTTTATGCACCGGAACAATATCTAATACGCGACCTTGATTACAATAGAGTAATAATAATAATAATTTGGTTTTAATTTCTCTCTTCTATGCGAGAAAGATTGAAAACTATAAGTTATCAAGTTAGTTTTCGAGTTCATATGACTTTTAAAATTATCTCCTTTCTGTCAGATACGTGCCAATGCATGCCTGCTTTACTGGTTTGGTCGATTATACGATACAAACGTATAAGCAAGTGGTAATTACTCGTATGTTAAAAACTAGATTCGCATATGATGTGCATTGACGGGTTTGAACCCGTTTCAATCTATTTCTAAATTCATTGTAATACTAATCGGCTACTCTTTAAATATAAACTATTCGACTATTTAATCCTAATCATATTTTTTAATGAAAATCATTATTGTAATAAACAGAGTTCCATTGAAAATATGCAATAGCAGACATAAACGAACAAACATTCATAAAACTGTTTGTTATTTTTTAAACCAAATTATACATATTGATATTAAATGTACCAGGTGACTGAAATTAAAATTCGTCGTTACATAAAAAAACTTTATAATTAATGCACGAATTAAAGATAATAAATCAAAAATAATTATACCCCAGACACCAATATCGAAGCTATGACGTTTGCCCTGGAGAACAAACCGTCCAATTTATTTCCGTTCACTGAAAAACAAATTTGCTTATTATCCATTTTCATACATTGCATATATAATATTTAATGCTATTGTACTTTGTGCAGGCGTTCGACCTAGCTTTGTGAAACAAATTCAATTTAAGAAAAGTGTTTTAAGTTCTACACATTAGACTCTTTATCTATCTGTCCGTTCTTAACATACATATGGGTTTGATTTCCGGCTAAGGTAAATATTTGTACACAAATCTACTTACTGATTAGATAATGCAGCACCGTGATTAACGCACACGAATCCTCAAAAAATGTACCAATGTAAAGTACCTCAAAAAATACTATTTATTGCAAAAATAATATTTAAATTACATTATACGATTACCTTAACGTGTTTATAGAAACCCCTAATATGACTTTCAGTCCATTTTATATTCATCTATTCTAACAATCTGCTAGTAGACTTTGGAAAACTTCGCAGGCGTCCCAAATCGGTCCTCGAATAATACTGAGCGCTCACTTGAATGTTCCTTTAAGTGGAAAAACACGCAACTAAATTTTGTTCTGAAACGGTGCGTGGCTAATTTTAATATTATAATGAAATCTATACTTAATATTATTAATGTGAAAGTAGCTTCGTCTGTTTGTACGTTACCTTTTTTACACCTAAACCGCTAAACAGATTTTGATAAAATTTGACAAAGATTTAGATTCCATCTTAGGGATGTACATAGGCTACCTATAATCTCCATCTCGCATATTATGAAAGTGAAGCCGCAAACAAAAAACTAGCATTAAAATAAAAAAAAACACTGGCCGCCCTGTTTTTTGCTTATTTTTATCTAAATAATTAAATTCTTCCAACTTAATAGTATCTTATGTAAACTATTACATCTAGAAAATATCATATGTCACTCTCCAGTTATTAAATATCTCTATCCCTTATCCATTGCTGCATACATTTTTGCATTTATAATGTTAGTTCCATTTCCGTTTCATTAAATTTAGCTAGTTAATATCTATACTTTAAAATTATAAAGATAATTTTTTTATATGTTTGTTCGTAATGCAAAAACTAAAAATTCACTAAACCAAATTAGATTAAATTTTATATTAAGATAGTTTTAGACCCTAGGACGGCCACAGAATAGTTTTTATCCCGCAAATTATCCCTAAAAGGGCTCTTAAGGGGGATGAAATTTTATATGGGCAATCAATCATTTTCTCAAGTAAGGGATACACTCATCTTATCTTCGTACGTATAGTCTAGTCTATCCATTCCCTACTAACCGTTAAACGTACCTAGGGACGACCCAAGCGAAGCGAGTATGAATTGCTAGTGATTTATAATTTGTATGTATAATAAAGATTTTCATGAACAAAGATAATGAATGCCCATCGTGGTTTAGAAAAATAAATTATTCGAGCATCTGCTATCACAAAACCTGGCAAATCTTAACGATTTGACGATAGGATTTGTTGGATTTTAGTAATATTAAATAAAAAGTGACCAAAAAAATGCGATATTTTCTATTTTACCCTAATTTGTAACGCGTTCGGTAATTAATTATTTAATTTGAATAAAACAAACAGGTAATAAAAATCGTCTCTTCTGTTTCCAAAACACTTCATGAACTTTAATCAAGTAAAACAAATGCGAGAACATGATTGTAAATAAAAGAAAAGGTGCGTCCATAATATCGATTCGTACATTTCCAATACCTTAGAGTTCCGAACTAAATAATTCGGATGTTTCTCGGGAGTTTGCTAACAACCCAGCCATCTGCACACGAATGCATTCATATAACCAGATTTAGTTTGTCTCATAGGTATTTAGATACTATTGTTGATAGATCAAGGAGACATATAATTACTTTTTTACTAAGAAACTATAGTAAATTGTAAGATTTTTTTCTTGAATTTTATATGGCACCACAGTTAAAATTTAATCTATTTATCAAAAAACCATGAAAATCGGATTGCTATTGATGTTATCTCCTAAGATAAAAGGCTCTTATCCAAATTGAGATTTTTTTAATTGTTTTAAAAATAATGAAATAAATATATATAATTTATTAATGGATAATGTAAAAAAGAATAAAATTATGGAACTTATTGATGAGCAAACTGAAAAAAAAACGATATAAAAAACACATAAAAATTATAATTATTACCTATAACATAATATAAATGCTTAAACTACGAGATATTGTAGTAATTGGCTTCGATCATATAAATATTACCTATTTTAAGACCTGACAAAGGCCTAATGAAGGGAAAACGCTGTGGGATGTATTTTATCAGTTATATGGACTAATAGGTACTAAGTACTTTTTTAAAAATCACAATTTTAAATATGTACCTAGCTATAAGATGCTAAATTTTTAATTTTGCTATAAAAGCAAACTTTCTTTCAGACCAGTCAACGCGAAGTCCTCAATAAAAATCATAGACGGTCGATACACAGCTCTTACTAGCGCTTTGGTGAAAATTGACTCTCTCCCACCGACAGTCGAAATATTATGCGACATGCAAGTTCCACTTGCCAACTACTTCAGCAGGAAGAGGGATATATTCTATCGAGGTAATAAATAATTCTATACATATATTAATTAAGGCAGTGGTAGCCCAGTGTGAAACAACGTGTAATGGGTTCAAATCCCGGGCCTCGCACATCTGATATTTTCATGTACGAATCATTTCTAACCTGATTACCGTTTGTCTTCTAGCGAAAGAAATGCGTTGTAAAGAAAGCTGAATATCTGAAAGAACCTAGCAAGTTTTTGAAAGATATGTGAAGTCAGTCAACGCGCATTTGTATAACTAATACAGTTATTAACATAGAAACTGTTTATATCATATGTCAAAATGATATTCTTAGTAAATAAAATAAATTAAAAAAAAATTGCCTAGCGTGGTGGACTATGACCTGATCCACCTCGTATTAAGAGAGGCCCGTGCCTAGCAGTGGGACTTTAAAAAGGACTGAATCCATACAATACATCAATTTCATTCTTTTATTCATTCATATTTTTACATTCGTGAGCGCTCGCTTGAAGTTGATGTTGTTTCCTATTATAATTTAAAATTAAAGTAAAAGATTTTTTATTTGTATTTTAGTTTGTTTTAAAATAAAACCTTGAAACTTCTCGATAAAAATAACTTTAAATTAGTTTACTCGAACAGAATCAACGTGTCACTGTTTAACTGATGCTTAATTCATGTACTACGAGTTGGAATACTGTAATCTCTAGCGTATGCGTAAATTATTCACATAACAAACCTATTGACACCACGTTTGTACGATAGTATTCTTAGTAAAATTAAAGTGTTATATATACATTTTATATAGCTCACTATAACACATACATTTACGAACTTTATTTTCATTTAAAATGAAGGCATATTAATATTTATTCGCAGATCCGCCGTCTACTACAGGCGATCCTCTAAATGCAGCGCGTGATGATGGTAATTTAAACTTTTATATGTTTTTCATGTTATATAATTAAATTAGCGGATCCGACGGACGTTGTCCTGCTCAACACGGTCTTCATCATATTCACCACAATCTATACAGATAAATCAAATTGAATTGTCTGTTTTTAATGTCAAATTAACTGCATAAACGTATATAATGTCAAATTAACTGCTTTTTACTAAATATATATGAAAGTATATACTATATACTGTACTTGTAAGAAAAAAAAACATTTTTTTTGACTGTCTGTTTGTTCCGACTAATCTCCAAAACGGCTGGACCAATTCGTCAGATAGCTGATCTTATAAAGAGAAACTTAGGCTTTATTTTAGAGAAAGGGTTACGTGCGAAAAAAAACAAAATCCGCGTACCATATATTATATTATACATATATACATATACGTACATTAAGACATATCTAAAAATGTTTCGTCAATCTGCGTATCTATTTATACTGATGTAGAGAATGTACCAGTATTGATAAGATTTTCTGAATAATAAGATTCTAGGTAATTCGTATACCTTTATGAGATACAATGTTAAGGATCACATAAGAGCTACAAAAACTATATATTTTTATAACATGGTTATTTTATTATCAATAATAAAATAAATTTTTCTTTACAGGACATTTTATGAGGACAACTCCACTGCTTCTACCTGCATCTATAATAATAATCTTCAATTTACAAATCACGTAACATTTACATAGTAAATTAGAGTTATATAAAAAAAATAGAATAAGTTGTAAATATAAATTATAATTATACTATATTATATGAATACATATCTACCAAGGAGTCCGGCCAAACGTATTTAAGGTTGTTAAAGACATTTGTATATATTGTAAAATCTAAGATAATCTAAATATTTAATAAATTAATAAATATGTTGGAACACACAGCACCGTCTAGTTCCATGGTAAGCTATGGCTTGTCTTATGGATACCAGATAGTTGATGACACATATATAACTTTAAATATATACATATTATAAATATAAACACCCATGACTAGAGTACAATATTCGTGCTCATTACACTAATGAATGCCCCCAGCGGGACTTGAACCCGCAACTGCTTGCGCATAAAGTAGGGTCACTACAAACTGACCCAAACGTGTCCTTATACTCGTAATTCTATGCTTTCAGTAATAAGGTTATATAATATAGTTCATAGAATTAACAAGCCAAAGTGAGTAGAAAGCTTCATGCTACCTGATTTTATTAATCCCCGACGGAAAAGAGAGTTAAAAATATAAGCAACTTCCACAAATCTAATCCATTTGAAATTTGGTATCCTGTTGTTACCATGGCATTCCAACGATATGAAAACCTTGGTCTGAGGCTGCAGCGTCACCTGGAATCTGTATGATACTCAACTCTACTAAATGACTGCAGAAATATCCTATTTAGATTCATTGAAATAGCCTAAATGAATAGGTGTTGGGAGTGTTTTTAAAATTTTTAATTTAATTTGTTGTACATCGAGACCTCTTTCTATTATTTCTTTATTAACCGACGTCAACAAAATATGAATATTTATGTAAATTGTCAAACGATATTCTTGAAAAAATAGACATCTATGAGACGAAATATACTTTTAGAGACATGTTTAAGAAGTACTTTTTAAAGTATTATGTAATTATTATTATTGAAAATTTTGCCAGTCACTATTTTAAACCCCATATTTATCAAACCTATACAATAGAACAACACAAGCTTTTCTCATATGAGGAATCGAACCCACAACCTATACAGCCTGTATAGCATACTCAGTATTCTCCCCAGTATTTAAGTAGTAATTTAAAACAATAATTGTAGAAATACAAAAACCAATATTGTAACTGGATATCACTATGGAATTGTTATAAACAGCTCTTCCCGGCCAAAGAATCACTACTAGTCGTGATTAAAAATAAATTTTATGAAAATTTTATGCTCTTATTTATTCTCCTTTAAAGATCCTTTGGAAATTAAATGATAATAGAGTTTTATTATTTAACAGAAAGTTATTTTTTCTTATAATTTATATAAAATTATTCAGTATTCTATTAAACACAATTAGATCTTAGATATTAGTGCAATTTGTGGAAAAATGTAGTGGGTAAATTGCTAGCAATTTTTAATTTTTTTTTTAGAAAAAATGGAAATAATATTTTTTTCTCTGCTTTATTGGTGTACAAGACAATATATTTTCCACTTTTTTTTCCTGCACCAAAAGAATATTTAACACTAAGCCTTTTGAAATCGATTTACTATACAACATATAATATGATATACTCGTACTATACAATTCAATAATTATAGTTTTGTCTTAAATACTATTTGCAAAATGAAAAATTATTATAATTCTACTGTGTGAATTGTTTTTCGAGGGAGAGCCTCTAGTTATCTATACATATAAAAAAACTGTAGAGATCGAATGTCTGTACATAGAAAAAAAAAGCTAAAAACCGAGTCAGGGGGATGTAAGAAGACAAATAGAACAAATCCAGATTTTTTCATTTTTTTTGTTTCTCTGTTTGTTTGTTTGTTTTTTTGTAGAGGCTAATCTCCGAAACTGTTCGACCGATTTCAATTAAATTTTGTATGATGATATCATATATCCCCGGTCAACATTTTAAATACTTTTCATCTCGGAAAATTAATGAGTTCCCGTTTAATACATTTGTTTATCTTTGTAATGTATTATGTATATATACAATATAGACCCCAAAACAATAGTGTATTAAATAGATATATACAAACCTTCAGAACCTTTAGAAAATATTTTCGCTTCTATAACACAAGTAAAAAATTATTTAATTTGTTTAGTAATATAAATTTAATCAATGAAAAATTCTGAACAATCACATAAAATAATAAAAATAAATTTGACGTTTGGAAACAATAACAACTATTGAAAGGTATCGAAAGTTTTTCATTTGATATACAAATTCAGAAACCGAAACGGTAACGCCTGATTGAAACAAATATTTGGTTAGATTTTAACGTGTTTTATTAAAAACTGGTAAAATATCATTTCAATTGTACGTAAAAAGTAAAAATCTGCGTACATTTTACAAAGTAACGAATTCGTTTATTCGATCTATTATTTTGAATGGGCAACGTGAATGTTTTTTGCTTATTACACTGTTATTGTACTATTGAAGAATTTATTTTAACAAAACTTCCAATTCAGTAATTGTTATTTCATAACTTCTCAAATAAATTCAAAACGCTTTTAATTTCAAATTCAAGAGCTTTGCTCTTTAGACTACTGTATTAGCGGCATAGTTTCTAAGAAATTTATTTGTTTTTAACTCTCATACTATAATATGGAATAGAAATATATAATATACGTCATACATGGAAACACATTTGGAAATATATTAATATACTAATAATAATCTAAAGAGGTAAAGTTTGTGAGTTTGTGATGTTGTAGTAAATCTCTGGATCTACTGAACCGATTTAGATGAAATTTGGTAAGAATATAGTTTGAGACCCTGGGAAGGACATAAGATACTTTTAGTCCTGGAAATCATCCCTTAAGAGGGTGAAAATGGGGATGAAAGTTTTATATGGGGAATCAAGCTAGGGATGAACCCGACGGAAGCGAGGGTGAGTCGCTAGTCATAAATAATCGAATTCATAAAATAAAGTAGATGGATCAATCATTTATAAAGTTCCTTTAAATAGTAACAGTATCAACAAAAGTATCCTTCCAAAGAAATCCATATCCATACTAATATCATAAATGTGAAAGTGTGTTAGTTTGTTTGTCTTTCTTTTACATCAAAACAGAGTAACGACGTGGTTTTTTTGTGTGGAGATAGCTGGAGAGCTGGAGAGTGACATACTACCGACTTTTTAATAAAAAAAAGTTATTTATGATCAGAATTACTTGAAATTTGGTATTAATGCTCTTCAATACAATTAAATAAATACGTGTTTTAGCATTTTTTCGAAATTCATCCCATAAAAGGGTAAAATAAGGGATGAAAGTTTGTATGAAATCTACCTTTTTAATGTTTATTTTACAGTTTTAGCGCGAGCGAAGCCGCAGATTTTGCTAGGTAATAAATAAAAGACTATTCTTCAACAATGTTATTTTCAAAAATAACTTTGATCGCAACCGAGTTGAATTTGATAGACAAAAGATTTAATATGCAAATGTATAGACTTAAAAACTGAGGATGTAAAAATGTCCACAGCAATTACAATGAACAGTATTTTTTCAAACATGCAATCCAATCTCGAGGCATCAGAGTCGTGTGAATTGGGAACTAGAGTGCACCTGCGCTAAGAGCTGATGGCTGCAGTTCAATTCTGAAAACGCATATTGAGGATTTTTGCAAAGTAATCAAATCAAACAGTGTGTTTTATGTATTGCTATTTGGTGATGGCCGTTATATTTGATGAAAAAAGTTTGTTCATTTCTGTCTGGTGAAGAGCTTTTTTAGACGTATTTTTGGTATTTACAAGAACTGTACGGTGAGTATGTGAGATAAAAATGGTGGACTTTTTTTAATACTATGCAATATACTTATTTATATATATATATATAGCTTGCGACTCACCTTCGTTACGTTTTAACCTTTAGTATAGATTTCTCAGAAATCAAATATTTTCCCGTAGTAAAAAGTATCATAAACATTGACCCGGATAACCAACTATCATCATACCAAATTTCATCAAATTTCATCAGTGCGCTATTTTTTTCGTGATGCGGTCACAGACAGACATACAGACAAAAATTCCAAAAACTATAGATTCGACCTCTGTATCGATAATAAAGTCTATTTAAATAAGATTTTCCAAAAAATATTTAATGTATAGATTCGGCTCAGTTAGAATTTTATTATACGTATAGACTTAATAGCAGGTTTATTACATTTATAAGAATATTTTACTGTGAATAATAAATAACTTAAATGTGCATATTAAATTAAATTTAGTAAAAATTCAAATTCAATTACGTAGCAAAAATACTATACGATTGAAAATACTTACACTAAAACCAATAAAATAAAAAATAAACTTTCCTAAAAGAATATAAATAACAAGATTGATTAGCATTTTCAATAAGATACGGCATTTACATATTCAAATATACATAAAGCCATCTAAAACATGGCTTAGTTGTATACAAATAGCTCATCCTATATAAAAGGAGGATAATTGCAAAACGTCTCATCTCATCGGGGCTTAGAAAAATATATTTTCATACTAATTCCATGGTAGGAATGGGACATCGAAGGCACATTATAGAGGCTTAGGATCGTCTACCGCGAATAAATTTCCCTTGAGAGACGTATTTTACATCGTCGGGACAGTCAAGATGCCATGTGATCTGAAATATTATGGTTTACCACATTTTATAAGAAATGATGTAGATATTATAATAAGTAATGTTATATTTTTGGAGTAAAATGAAATTTTAAATAACTTCCATGATTATCTCAGCATTGAAAAAGCTTTTGTACTGAGGTCATGTCAGTGAATCTTATTGAAATGAATCATATCACAACTATTCTATACATATAATAAAATTCTAACTAAGTCGAATGTGTACATTAAGTATTGTTTGGAAAATCTTATTGAAATAGTCTTTATTATCGATGCAGAGGCCGAATCTATAGTTTTTACAATTTTTATTTATCTGTCTGTCTGGATTCAAACCGATTTTTTTTGATATGTAATCGTATAAGCTATC